GCCTTCTAGGGCTTAAAAAATTATTAAAGCGGTTTTCTTACCGCTTAGTGCGTCCAGCTTCAAAGGGTCCACAGTGGGATCGTTTTACGGTAGTGAACTGAACAAATATCACAGGAGATAATGTGTTGTGTGTTAGAATTGGTAACCCTTAAGGGTGAAAAAATATCAAGCCACACCCACAAAACAGGATCTTGGTGCCTCTTAGGGGTTCTTTACAAAATTTCCGACGAGCACCCCCCTCTTTTTTATATGGGAGTTTCCCCGGAATCTGGCTTTGGTTATCTAATCTGAAATATATTGTTATTAAACAACGCGCGAGCACACGTTCAGTGTTTTTATACTGCTTCGTGTCATTGACGTCATATTATATGCGTTGTTTGCAGCAAGCCTGTCGTGACAAAAATGCCGCGGGCCAAAATAGTCCATCCATCAGTGCGAGGACATATTTAGTCTTCCTGCGACAATGAATGTCGTTAATTCACGACAAAGTAGCATTTACATTTTCACGGCTTAAACAGCCGAGCGGTAGACATATCATGTTATTCTGAGTCGGAAAATTCAGTGATAAAATCCTCTTGCTATAATTAAGAGACCCGGAAAGACAAATAGCTAAAAAGCCATTAGCAGCAAAAGAGTTCTCGGTACTTTGAAGTGGACCGTGCGAAGAACATTGAGCATGACTCTAAGTAGCTGTTCACTTTGAAAGCAAATAAATAAATAAATCCAGTTCTTGTACGCCTTTTAGATTCTTTTACATTCTGTAGATCTCTTAACTGAGCACATTGAAGAATTTACAGCAATATGGCAGTGGCGGTTGAGTGTAAAACATGTTAGGTAGAAATGTCATACTCATCTAATCCCTTATCAACCGTTACAATCCTAAGTGGTCTATAGGCTAGACTCGGTAGTTCGCTCTAATCTGGCGTGGGAAGAGGTGCCGAGGTAGTACTGATAGAACTTGAAAGGATTATAACTCGTTCAGTAACAACTTGGTAAAATAATTGCAGTTTGCCTAAAAGGCTGGTATCCGTGTTTCTTTTGTTGGCAGTCGTTGAACTTTATTACTGTAAGGAGAGGGAATTAGATATCGCCAGCTATTACAATTTTTTTTAAAGGTTCATTTATAATCGCATACCAAGCGAGATTCGCATTTCTGATGTGACAGATTTTCGGTAAATCTTCAGACAGATTAAAATTTAATTACTCCCATAAAAAACCACAATCTGCCTAATCTTGTGAGATCATTTTTTTTAGCTTGTAGCTTAATTGCTGGAAAATTGACTTAAGAAACGTACACGTTATATAACACATTTTTCATGAAATTACGCCCATGTTGTGAGCATATTTTAAACCTACTGAGTGATACATATCTTGTGCATGGTTGAAAGAAATCAACAGGTTAGAACAGGGAAGTCAGTTTTTCCCTGTCTTTTATACCGAGTCTTTGATAATCTAATAATGCAATAGTACATATTTGTGTACTCATGGTCACGTTCTCTTTAACAACATTACCGGACCAGTGAAATTTAATACTTGCATGGTTTATTCAGTATAAAAAGGAATATTACAAGCGATACCGGCAAGCAGCGAGGAAAATATACGAGGAATGAGTTTGCTGTTATTTAGAGCAAATATCACAATATCGCACTACGATTTTTTTAACTTTGCAATTATTCGAACAAATCACTTGCGGTTTGTGCGCCGTTCACAGTGCTATTATACTTACTACTGACGTCTCTAAACATCATCAAAGACCGATTCTAATAGTTGAGTTACAGGAATGTGCTTATTCTCTCACGCAGGGGTGTATTAAGATCATTCACGAAACGAACTGTTTATTTATGTACACGCCATTTGAAGAGATTTTCTGCAACTCAGACAGGATCAGTTTTGGTCGATCACGCACCCTTTTGTAGGTGTGTCTCTTTACTTCCGAGGCCAATCAACTGTGAGCAAAAGGCCAAAAAGTTCGAGTGTTAATATAGTTTCCAGGTGTTAAGTAAACTGGCAGTACCGCCTTGTATCTGCAAGATAACCTTTCCTTATCAGAACAAGTGGATGTTATCTTTTCATAGGCAATAAGCGTCAAAAAATAACTAATATTTTGCATAACATGTCAACAAGTCCTCTGAGATCACCCGAGCTACAATAGATCGATATCTTGGAACGGATCGTTGGGTCATCAAAGATTTATTATCATTATAAATTGCCTCGGACAACACACAGTTCTCTGGTGAAAAACATTTCAAGAAGAATTTTCCATTTCTACAAAATGAAAATAGCACATTTCGCAGGTATTATTAATACCTCCTACATAACGAAACGTGAGAGTTTCGTTCATGTGCGTGTGCTCAGCCAAATCGCTAGATTTTCTTTAAAACAGGCCAAAAACAAAGTTATCTCTTTCGATCTGCCAAAGGTTATCTCATAGCTGAATTGTACACACAGCCTACAATTAGTTATACAACCCTCAAATGTCAGAAATTCGTACCGAACGACATCTGTTTATTAATGTCGACAAGCGCCATTTTAAGGTAGACTTCTTATATTTTGGAAACTTGGACTTCTTACGGAAGAAGGCCAATTCTTTTAACGTTGGTTTTTTCTTTAGTTTCGCGGACTCGCTTTGACCTTAACAGATTAAACTGAGCTTGCATACCATGTTCACTGATCAAAAACTCAGCACACAGCAAAGACGTTTCTTGTCTGATGATTTTGAAGAAGAATCCTGATGCCGGTCTGATATATTAAGTCACCCACAAACATATTTTGCTTTCGGCGCGGAAATCTCCGCTTTTGTCCGAAATTGCGCTGATCTCTAGCTCCAAGTGTAGCTTGACAAATAACGCATAGGGTCAAAGCACTACGGCTCATTCGTTTTGGGGAGGTGATTTTTAATTACAGGATAATTCACCATATGCTGAGCTTTATCTTTGGATTTCGGAAACACAACGATACGGTTGCTTTAAACAGCATGCTTTTAATTTCTGCTTGGCCTCCTTAAACAAGTTTATAAGCCAAAAGAATGCAGTTTGCAGATTCAAGCACCACCCACAACGGGAATGATTCCTTTCGTTCCGAGGCCGTCTATGGCATTTCGTTCGCAGCCTTCGTAATACTTGAGTTAAAAATTTGTGTTTGGATTTTTTAATTCCAGAAATCTCTTACGAGCGACGACGCGAGAGTAACACAAAATTAAATATATTTTTTTCCTGCTTATTGAAGTAATCTCAAGCCTTGGCTTGACAGAGGCTGAGAAAGAGCAAGAAAAAAATGAACTTAATCTGCTGTTAATCTCTTGCTGTTGACAGTCAACTTAGGTCTTTCAGTGAAAATCTCCTTTACTGGGTATGTTATCCCATGCGATAGTTTTATTTTTTATTTTTTTTCGTATTTTTTTTTTTTTTTTAAATCAGAGAAACATTTCAGAGGTGTGCTCGTGGACTGCATACTTATATAATTTAACAAAAGACCGAGACACAAGGTTTATATTTTTTCAAGTTATGTGATGCTATGAAAAAATGAAATAAAATCACGATTTTTAGCGGCGAGGAAGCCACATCAGCCTTACCTGGTTTTCATGCAGGTCCTCTATCCTGATCGAATTGGAATTTGGAGATGCTAGTTTTTGTGGAGGAAGGAAAACTGGAGAACCCGGAAAAAACCCTCGGAGCAAGGTGGGAACCAACAACAAACTCACCCGCATGTGGCACTGGGCCGTAATCGAACCCGGGGAACATTGATGGGCGAGCGTTCTCACCACTGCGCCAACCCTGCTCCCTAAATATGGAAATGTGTCATGGGTTAACGCGCAAACTATGAAACCTTCGTGGCATTTCAGACAAATTACCAATTCACCAACATGAAACTTCATATGCTTCTCTCCATTTCTATAATTAGCTTTTTGGGCGAAACCAGTTGGGTGTAAAAAATTGCCAGGCTGTCCGCCACAGAATCCCTATTTATAAAACAATGATTTATCATAATTATTTGATCGTGACTGCGTTTACAAGAACCTTAGGAATTTAAGTTGGGAAAGATTTCATTACTCCGTTGTCCGATCCTTGCCTAATGATATCATTTAACAGTTGATTTATGATATAGTAATTAACAGTTGATTTATGGCACATGCCATAATCTGATAACAAAAACAATTGAAATTTTTTCAAAGTTAGAACATGCGATAGAGACAGTAACAAAGAAAATGATCTTGCCTTAAATTTAGTCTCAGGATATGATGCAACCATGCTAATGTAATCCAAACTTGAAGATTTTCACAATGTTTGCAGGGTTCTTTAGTTGTTAGTTCAATGTTGTTATATAATCATGTAAGTTCCTCTTGTTGCTTCAGTTTGGTATCAGTGCAATACCATAAAAAAAAGCTGTACTGTAGAATATATTGACTTCCCGTGCTATATGTAACGCTTGCACATCTATTGGCGAGTGTTAAATTAAATATCCATGTCAGTTTTCGCAAACTATGATGAAGTTTGGACGTCATTTTTGCGTATGACGAATTCGCGTATGTTGTAACTTAAGCAATGGCGTGATTTCGTTGCAAGACAACTTTCTTATCTTCGGCTTTCTTGGCCTCCCCATGTGATACCCCGTCATGGCAATATTTTTATCTCACCCCCCAAGTTTAGTAAACAACAACACGAGGCAGGCGGGTCAACAAATACATCAAATGTTGTTTGAAGGTCTTCTAAACACCCCCCTCACTTTTATTACATTTTAAGCCCTACAACACCTACAGGTTGACCTGCATTAATCCTGACTGTCTGTGGAACTTTCAGGACAGAACGAACGTCAGACAATGTTTGCCCGAAATGTCGAATCGTTTACCTTTCGTAAACAAATGGATTCGAAGAACTCGAAGAAACAGTTAAACTACAAATTTACAGAGATAAGAGCTAGAATTACTCCTCACCTTTGAACCGGTTGGCACCAAAACCCAGCATAGTCCGACTGCAACTGACAGGACGCGGAGATGAATCTTCATAGTTTCGCGCAACTGAAGAAAACCGAAGCAAAGTGCGCGTGATCGTGATCTGACTACAGTAAACTGTCGAAAGGCTGTTTTATTTCACGCATCCTAATCTAAACAAAAATTAGCAAACAACTATTTCGAAGCACTTACTTAGTTGCTGTTTTAGGAGGACTGATTTCACCTCTTACGGAAAATTGTGACGTGATCAGTTGCTAATTTTAATAGTTTAGGTATCACTACCCGGTCCAAGGTTATGCAATCCTAACATCAGGATATACCCAATCTTCAGGTATTTTTGTCACATTTCTTCACCGTTTCAACACGTCAATGGCCGACATATACCACCTCGGCGTGGTGAAACATCTCTATGGACGTGGTATTACAAGAATCTCTCTGTTTCCTTTTGGTTTGGGATCGTCAATTGGCCTTTCAGATTACGCATTTTGAAAATCGACTTGTAAATTGTGATTGAGAAATGATCAATATGAGCTAGAGAGCTTGAAAGATTATGAGGGAATTTCACTGATTTAATCAACAGAGAAAATAAACCTTCTGCGATAAATGAGTGCTACAATTACATATATTTGACATGAGAACGTGCTTGAAGGCCTGACAAGCGAGGCGTATCGTTCTTACCTTCGAAATCCGTGATTTTCGTTCACCCGTCAAAAGAAAATAACGTGATATTCTGTGATGCACTGATCCCTGGCTTGGACTGGGGTGTCACACAGCTTGATCTTCCTTTAAATAGTTGGGCATGTGCCGGTTTTAACACTTGAGAGAATCACAGACATGTGAGAAAATATAATATGGATACGGGTGGGTTTCAGTCATCAACAGGCTATAGAAAGCAAAACTTGCACACCTTTTCCGGAGCGTTGAACTGTTTCAAGAGCTTAGACAAGCCTGGCACACGAATCTAAAGTTGTCTGATTAGTGTCTCCAAACGTTGTGAAACCGTAGAAGGGTGTTGCGAAGCTGGATATGCAAACTATGTCCAACAAAAATTTGACTCGGCCATTGAAAGCTTCTTTCATGTCTCGATTATCCCAATTAATGTGTAATGTCAACATCTTGACATTCATGACGGCCTGTTCTTTTTTCTCTGTTTTGACAAAGCCGCAAACATCCGACATTTCTTTGGCGTGGGCTACGGGACTGAAAAGGTCACGAATGATTGACAGCTGGTAACAGTTAGCGGGGAAGTTTACAGAACAGAGGAATAAAACAAGCGCGCGATCGGAATAAGAAAGGAAACGAACTGTTTACATCCACTGTCTTTAACTTCAAAGATTGCTTTGTATATGTTAAACAACTGATGTGTGCAAAAATGGAACTGTAGGCTTGTTCAGTAAGAAAAGTTTTGTTTAGTGTTTCAGATTCTGCAAACTATGAAAATAAATTCTTTAGAATCTTCCGGCGCGCTGAATTGAACCCAGGATTAAAGAATACTGATACGGTATGAGTTAATGCTCTGCATTTCGATAGAAAAACTTCCTTTTTTGAAGAGGACCATAAAAATTAAACGAATTACCCGCATTCAGCCTCGACCGGCTCTCCGGTCATCCGAAGACTGGAAGAGGGGGGTGAATAGGGGTATGCAAATCTGCCGATCCGTGCCATTTTTTCGCCAAATCCGTTGATCCGCCAATACTTTTGTTCAAATCCGAAACCACAACCACTCCGGAAACAGAAGTGTAAAAGTTCAAAGGTAAATTGTTAAATGTGAATGCCATAGTTAATTTTGCACAAATAGTAAAGAAGGCAACATGCTTGATGACTATAACACAGTACAATTCCAATGACTGTTTAAATGAGCTTCGTTGGAAAAAAGAAATAATTTGGATGAACTCATTAACATACCGACCAAGGATGAAGAAAGATCTATGATCCAAATTTCGTTTAGGACCTAAGATCCGAACATTAAGACAGGCAGAATCCGGAATCCACGCCAAAATTCACAGCTGATCCACGATCCACTGTGTTTTCAAAATCCGCGAATCCGCTTGATTTACCGCAAAAATCCACAATCCGAGCGCTTTTTAAGGCCAAATCCATCGATCCGAAAACCTATTCATCCCCCTTCTGGAAGGATACATTTTTTTCGCAGATGACAATGCTCAAGCTCAACTAAATTAATTTCATGTTCGATAGTGATTGATAAGCGTTTTTACATGTGGCCTTTTTAAAACTGCGTAATTCGCTAAGTGCAAGGTGTAATTTTGATAAGGGTACACATTCGACTGACGGCTGGTAAAGGTAACAAGAGCTTACGAGACAAGCCTCCCATGCGCCAGTGAGGCGCGGCTACTCAGGCAGGAAGCCAGAAGTGTTTTGAGGTACAAACAGCCATGGTTGTCCCGAAGGTGCGATCACGCGAACAACCAAAGGTTCAGGCCAGGGGTGGGGTGGGGGGGGGGGGATGGGGGGGTACTTCCTTATATGGGCTATATGTGCGCCCTAAAGGGTAAGGTTTTCAACTGTTTTGGTCTGACTTGAAGGAAACGATTTTGGCCATTTTGGTCATAAAATAGGGTACGGTTTTTGCACTCTAGTCTTTCAACTGGGTATGCTTTTAGAAGAAGTTACTGCAAGTTTATCATTATCAACAACACCATTAACAAAAGCCCTTCGTAAATTATGTTTAGGGCAACTTGCCAGCCGCAACGCCATAAATAGGGTATTGAATTTTGGTCAGGACATAAATAGAGTTAAATAGGGTAGGGAAAATCGCAGATTTTGGTCATAAATAGGGTAAGGGTTTTGGGAAACGGGCCGCACAGCCCCACCCAATTTTTCTGGAAGTGCCGGGGGTCCAGGCCTGCGACACAAACGCAAACAGTAAATTGAATTTCCTACGGTTTGTAGTTTCACTTGCTTGCGTACTCGAATTTAAACCGTCCTTAAATAGCTGGTTTGACCTAATGAATAACATTGAGCTCACAATGTTAATTAAGGAGTTACAGAGGTCGGTTATTTAGTTTAGCTGCTTCCGTCAATTAATTCTAAATAATTTCATTATCTTCAGTCATCACAGTCTATCAGAGAAAATTAATCAGACCTGAAAAGTTTATCAGAAAACGTTTCTTTGCCCGAGGCAAGTTATATAGATCTAATTAATTAGGCGTAACACACCTTAGTTTCCTGTTCTCCTTCACCGACGTCTCTCTACTTAAAAGAATCAGCAAAAATTTGAAGAAAAACTTGTCACAGATTTATATAGCATCTAGCTAGACGGATTTGTATGCCTGGTTTATTTTATCACAATGGATTGTGCATCGCTGTAAATTGCGCGGGCAAACAGGTGAATGAGAAGTGTACACTTTTATAAGAACATAATTTATAAGAATAGCGAGGCTGAAATTTGGGAAATTTTAAGAATATTTTAAGAAAAAACCCGAAACTGAGATTTTAAAAAGGATATAATATGTCCGTTGAAAATATGTAAATAAAATACAATACAATCATATGTTTTTAACTAAACCGTGTAAAATTCTTCCTTTCTCTATAAACGGCAGAAATAACCTCAAAGCAACAAAAACAGCACTAGCCGTATAACATTTGTGCAAGAAGTTAAGTGCGTCATCAGGCTTTAATGTCCGCAGGCGGGCTGCAAAAAGACGCTCGAAAACAGAAATGTCTTGCACTATAATCTAGCAATATTCATAAGAATATTTTCAGCAAAAAAAGTGCATCGGAAACAAACGTTTCCGTTATGCTTCAGCGATGTTTTCTAGCGGTTAGAGGCCTGTGAATGTCATAGAGAGTGAGGTTTGATTATTGTTATCCAATACCTTGAGAAAGGTATGGGATAATATTTTGTTTCCGACAAACAAGAGAACGTGCTTCAGTTAACTTTAATTTCCGTGAAAGGTAATAAATTTAATCCATTCAGAGTGGGGCTGGCGAGGGTCAGCGACAGCTAGACTAGGGTAGTTAATCCAAGGAGGAAATAAATAACGTCATCCACGGGATAGATAACTGCATGTCCGGTAGATACAACGCAAGTACGTGTTACTTCTAAAGACCCTATCACTCAAGGCCACCTGCAAGTGAACATATATATATGAAATATTACTCTGTTTGAACTGCAGAGTAATTGAGAATTTAAACACACATGAGAACAAGTAGGAGATCATCGTATTTATGATATTGTTGATTTTTGAACAAAGAATGTAGGTTTTGGCTGGAGGGAAACGTGGCCCATGATACCGAGAGAGAGAGAGAGAGAGAGAGAGAGAGAGAGAGAGAGAGAGAGAGAGAGAGAGAGAGAGAGAGAGAGAGAGAG